ATTTTAAACCCCCTTGTCCTTTCAAGTTAGGAGGGAAGGGTTCAAAATCATATATATGTATTCTGTGACCTTTCATTTGATACCAATAACCTTGACCTTGTGACCTTGATGTTGAAGATTTTTGTACTCATGAAAAAAATTTAACCTGGCCATAACATATGATGATAGGGCTTTCATATTTCACAAAATTGTATTTCCAGTTAGGCGACCTTATTTTGGGTACCAATATATATATTGTACTCAGTTTTGACAATAAGTCAAGGGTACTATATCCCCAACATAGACCCAAAATATGTGTAATAAAACATGTAGTAAACTAGGGTATTCCTGACATTTGTCTACAAATAGCATATTTTAGACTGTTAGACCTTGGTCTGTAAAAAGGCTATACCGGAGGTCAGGAAGAAGATTAAAGATGAAAACTTTATCCGGACTGTAAAGAACATGATTGAGAGTGACCAATTTCACACCATATCTCACAAATACCTGCAGTTTTGGGTTTTTAAAACAGAAGAATTAATGCTTTACTTGTTTGATAGATTTTAAGGTTGACAAGAAATTGTGTATGGATGTTGAGTAGATAAGGTAACACAAACTGTTCATGAACTCTTGGAAAAATGTTGAGAAAAAGAAAGCTCATATTATTTTATCATGCCCAAGACATCTAAGATTTTTCTGCTCTGTGACTGAATGATATGTCCTAATAAATCACCAAAAATTGATATCAATTTACAACATTTTGAAATGAAATTTTGAAGTTCATATGAATAAAGCTTCTTTCATATTATTTGTAACTTTTTGCCTGATTATGTTGTCAAATATATTTTTATGCCCCGCCATGAATGTGGCTGGGGCATATAGTGTTTGTCATGTCCGTCTTCCGTCCTTCCGTCACACTTTGCATTTAGCTCTGTTCAAAGCTTAGTTTCAAAGAAACTATCCAAGATATTTTCATCAAACTTCATATGAGGATAGATATTGATGAGAGCTATGCAACTGCATCAACATTTTTTGACCTTGACCTTTCCTTTGACCTTGACCTCACTTTTTTAAAATTAGTGTTTAGCTCAGTTTTAAACATACCATTCAAGATGGCGTTGTCAAACGTCACCTGTTGATACATACTGATGAGAGCTATTCAACTGCATCAACAGTTTTGTCCTTGACCTTTCCTTTGACCTTGACCTCACTTATCTTTAATAAGTGTTTCGCTTAGTTTTGAAGATACCATGCAAGATATTTTTATCAAACTTCATATGCTGTTACATATTGATGAGAGCAACTCAACTGCATCAAAATTTTTGACCTTGACCTTTCCTTTTACCTTTGACCTCAAGTTTCCCAAATCAGTGTTAAACTTCATATGCTGATACATACTGATGTAAGCAATTCAACTGCATCAACAATTTTCACCTAAACGTTTTATTTGACCTTGACCTTACTTTTATCAAATTGTGTTTAAGGCAGTTTAAATTAAAGACATCATTCTAGATATTTTTTTTTCAGACTTCATATGTTGATACATATTGATGAGAGATATGCAACTGCATCAACATTTTCGACCTTGATCTTTCCTTTGACCTTTAGCTCACATTTCCCAAATCAGTGTTAAACTTCATATGCTGATACATACTGATGTAAGCAATTCAACTGCATCAACAATTTTCACCTTGACCTTTTATTTGACCTTGACCTTACTTTAATCAAATTGTGTTTAAGTCAGTTTTAAAGAAACCATTTATAATATTTTTTCAGCTGCAGAGTTTTTGAAATTTAAAAAATTTCACTGGTCAAGTGGACCAGTGATTTAGTGAATTTCACTGGTCCATCAACAAACCAAATTCAAAACAAAAACAATTGTTTTAAATCCAGTTAGGCCTTTAAAAAATTGAAGGGTCAAATATCCTCGGACTGAATTAACCAGGTGTGATATTTACAGTAGATACCCAACATGGCTGCCTACCACAAATACGAAGTTCAAAATGTGGGGGAAATGTATAATGTAACAAAAATGATTATATTAAAACTTTATATTTAAGGTAAATGATGATTAGCAATTCGGTTGACATATGTTGCACCCCAAATAAAGCTACAATTAACATTTCTGTACAAACTGAATCAGCTGATTGATCGAAAATACACAGATAATGAGATATGGCAGAAAAAAAATCATGACTAACTGTCGTAAAAGCCCTTGAGTTTATTCTTTCATACACACAGATTCAATCCTTCAGACAATCTTACAACTAAACTTAAAATTTAGAGGTTAAGAGGTTAAAATTCCGGGAAGATCCAATTTTTTTACCGGTCCCTCGGACCGATTACATAAAGAAAATTAGTGGACTTTTAAAATATTTACCAGTTTTGCCAGTGGGACCGCTGGATTTCAAAAACTCTGCAGCTTCATATGCTGATACTAACTGATGAGAGATATGCAACTGAATCAATAGTTTTTGACCTTGGCATTTCCCTTGACCTTGACCTCACATTTCCCAAATCAGTGTTAAACTTCATATGCTGATACATACTAATGTAAGCACTTCAACTGCATCAACAATTTTCACCTTGACCTTTTATTTGACCTTGACCTTACTTTTATCAAATTGTGTTTAAGTCAGTTTTAAAGAACCCATTTATAATATTTTTTTTCAATTTCATACGCTGATACTAACTGATGAGAGCTTTTTAACTGAATCAATAGTTTTTGAATTTTGAACTTGGCATTTCCTTTGACCTTGACCTCACGTTAATGAAATTAGTGTCAAACTTCATATGTTGATACATACTAATGTAAGCAATTTAACTGCATCACTTTTAAAGATATTCTGATCAAATTTCATACACTAATACAAATTTTCATGTTGCTTTACTAATATACCCTCGGCGGGGCATTCATGTCCTATGGACATGTTTCTATTTTTCTGTGCAAGATGTCAGCGTAATTTTCGAACAGCCCTCAAACATAACTAAACTAAAAGCACTTTCTAAATTTAAGGTATTCAATGTATAATCGCCATATAATTGCATAATCAAAATAAATAAATTGTCTGAAATTTTAAATCAGACCACCTTAAAATTATTGTTGGTTGCATACTTCCAACTATCTGACTAAAAATGGTCCGCCTCAACACTACTTCTTTTATATTCAAGGACACGACATTCTTTCTGTCAAAGGACAGGGGACTCAATATTTTATGGCCATAATATTTTGAACCCCCTCCCTCATAAATTAAATTGGCAGGGGGACTCAATATTTTATGGCCATAATATTTTGAACCCCCCTCCCTCTTAAATTAAAAAAGGCGGGGGGACTCAATATTTTATGGCCATAATATTTTGAACTCCCCACCTTGTAAAATAAGAAGGACAGGGGGACTCGATATTTTATGGCCATAATATTCTGAACCCCCTCCCTCATAAATTAATAGGGCAGGGGGACTCAATATTTTATGGCCATAATATTTTGAACCCCCTCCCTCATAAATTAAAAGGGCAGGGGGACTCAATATTTTATGGCCATAATATTTTGAACCCCCCTCCCTCTTAAATTAAAAAAGGCGTGGGGACTTGATATTTTATGGCCATAATATTCTGAACCCCCTCCCTCATAAATTAATAGGGCAGGGGGACTCAATATTTTATGGCCATAATATTTTGAACCCCCCTCCCTGTAAAATTAAAAGGGCAGGGGGACTCAATATTTTATGGCCATAATATTTTGAACCCTGGGTTCAATATTTTATAGGGGGGTTCAATATTTCGCAGCGATATTTTGAACCCGGGTTCAAAATATCGCGGGGTTCAATATATTATATGACACCGGTTATGGTATGAAAATCGTTCAACCGTTAAATTACCGGTGTTTACCAAAGTGAAGATATCCATAATTTTAAGATACAATTTTTTTTACTTAGCATAATTATTTCCCCCTAAAGAGGGATGTTGCGTTTCTTTTGCGTGTCAGTACAGAATGCTGGTTTGAAATCAGACCTTTTTTAATTCCAGTGTAAAACCTGCCATATTTGACCTGTTCCTCGCTGTAGCTATAGTGGCCTACCTGGCTCTCGTTTACCTGGCTGTACAGGTATGTACATCGTACACTGACATTACTCATATCATAACTTTATGAACTCTTTAAATTGGAAGACCAATTAAATTTTATCACAGTAAAACATACTTACAGCTTTTATGCTAATAATGAATTCATATAGGCATAGGGATTTTCCTTTCCCTTAGTGTCAAATGTATACAATGTATATTGAATATGTTTACATCATAGAAAGCAAAATTATCTACATCTGGCATTTCACTATGTTATATTTTACTGTATGTAGCATTAAATTTGTAAATCTTAATTCCCTGCACTTTGACCATGAAAGTTTGGAATGTTATTGCATGTATATTGTTTTTATTTAATTATTTTTTTTAGAATTTCCACCTCTTCTACATTGCTATGCAGAAACTTTCAAGTCCCAAAAAGGTCAAAGTGCAATAAATGGTAAGTAAGAGCAAGAAATACCAGAAGTTTGTAGCATTACCAGGATTGTCCCTAAGACCCAGGGGCTGGGGAATATCCTTACCTATAATGATGTAATCCCCCGGTTAACGTGGTATTCCTCCTAAACTCCCCGGTAGGGAGGTGGAACCCCAGATCCCCTTCTACTCTTTAAATGTCTGCTTCTATTTCTATTCTCAGGGACAACCCTGATCTTAATTTGTTGAGTGAGTATTAAGCTAGAGTTATTTCCCTGTAGGTTGTCGTGCTTGTTGAAATCGTGATCTCCGGCGCTATATAGTGTCACCTCCTCAGTGTAACAAACTACATGCAGAGACTGGTAGCTAGTATTTGTGATATGTAAGATGAACAATCCAAAGACTATTTTTCTACTCATTGATGAATTTTTTGTACTCCTTAAATAAAAATTTTACAATTTAATCTCTTTTCTTTTTGTTTTGTTCCTGAACATCCACAAATATCAGTTGAACAAATACACAGAGGCTGATTTTGAAGTTATCTTTAATGAAAAAGCATATCATGGCTTACTTCAAAAGTATGGCTGTTTATTGCATTTTACCAACAATAAAGAATGACTTGCTTTTGAAAATTAATAATTATATTGACAATATGACATTGTATTAGAATTAGTACAGATATAAGACTATGCTGCAAACATACAGTAAGAAAAAGTGGGCACAAAGCTACCTACTTATTAAAAAAATCTTCCCAATTAAAGGAACAGAGCCTCTTAAGTTAATTCATGCAGGAGAACAATGCTTTCATAATTTACTAGTTGAAAACTGAAGATATTACTCCGTATACATAAAATTCCACCAGTGAACATGTCACATTTTCATGCTTGCTTTAGACTGTTTCGGGATCAGAATTAAAAATTTATTATAAGCTATAGGGCAAGAATTATCAAACGTGTTCTGGTTCATTTGCAATGTCCCAGGATATTGGATTTCGTCTGTTTTGGGGTGGTGCGCTCTTACACCGACGTCCAGGCCAAGTATCCGAAGCAGACGTCACCAAAGTGTTGGGACGCCGATTTAAATTTAGCTTCTGGATAGTCATCGCCTCTGACACCCACTCGGGATCAATTACGTAGATTTCATTTTTTGGTCCAGTTGGAGTGAACATTCCACCATCATACGCATATGCCGACTGTGGTCTGTTTGTTTTGGTGGGTTTTCCCGCGGGCGGGAGATTTTCAACACGTGATTGACTCAGTTGATGTAGTTTTGCATAGTGATTCAGGAAGCTAGCGGAGGGGAAACTGTGGCTCATCCACGTCGTCTTGTTCCTCCGCTGGTAGTTTATTTGTTTTGGGGATTCCCCCATTGAAATTGTTATCCTGGACAACTCTATAGGCGTCGGTTTCCTATACACTCTGAAATTAAACATACTATCATTGGACCCGTAAAACAATACAAGAATATAGGCTAGCTAGTGTAGTATAAGATGTATGGCATATCTATGATAATAGTGGATGCTTTATTTCAATTTTTGAGCACATATATAGACCAAGACAAGAGTATACCTTTCTTCGGTATTGGCCACCTGTACCTGACGGATGACGTCATTGGCGGTCTTTGGTCGCACCTGTGACGCCGAGCTTTTCCGTAGTTTGCTCGGTACCACAGGCGCGTGCCACCTCCGTCTGTATGCAGAACGTAACTGCTGCTGCCTCGATTCCGCCTTTTCCTTTTCTCGGTGAAGCCTATACGACTTCAAGGCCTTTGTCATGATATAGTTATGCTCGTTATCTACATCTGTAGAGAAAAAAAATAAACAAACTTACCCTTAACAAACTTTAATTCAACAGGTTTTTAAAATTCTCTCATGCTGCAAGCTTCAGTCTCCATCTTGGAAGTAATGCTGATGAGAAATCAATATCGGAATAATTACCGGTTGCTTTACTCTTCGAGTCTGAAGAGAATATATTATGAGGACAGATGATACAATGTATGGCTCAGTTCACAAATACTTGGAAGAATTGCTAGCGCTAGCATGGAAAAGATAAATCAATGGATTTTTGAGAGAACTATCGGAAGTAGTTTATGAGTTCCGTATGGATGTCTTTTACGTACCGTAGATGTCGGCACAGGCGACCCGATCTTCGAGGACTTCCTCTTTAGCCTGAAAATAGATAAGCGTACAATGGACAGATATAACAGGACAATCACATTACCACTTGAGGGAAGCATCTAGATTTAATAATATGATTAGACCAGAATATAAAATTAATGATTGTTCAATGTCAACCACAATAACAGCTGAAAACAAATCACGGTTTACTTTCCGAATTGTCGAAATGAGCAAACCATTACTGTGGCAGAAAAATATCTGCATTAAGTATGAGCATCTTAATGATACTTATACAGAATTAGTGATAATATGACTCTCTTTCTCCATATACTTTATGCATTGGGTTTTAATAAGTAAAAAGTACATACTCAATGGATAGCAAATTAGTATAATTCTAGGATTGAGTGTTAATGCCTTAAGTCATGCACATGTGTAATAGAGGTTCAATTTCCAAACTCTTTGTTGTAATCAAGAAGATATAAATTTAATGCGTTTTCAATCTAATATCAACCCAACTGGATCTAGTGTCTTGAAATTCACAATTTTGGTAAAAGGCCCAGCGTCTGTCTTGTAGTTCGTTAGATTAAAAAAAGTTTTAGAGGACTCGGTATATGACCCACCAAGCTACCATTGAGGTCAGAGTCTAAAGGGTGAGAATCTCATAGACACTGCGATTTTGGCAAAAGGCATGGTGCTGCTGTATGGCATGTAAAGAGTTTGGCAGGCAGAATTTAAAATATGATGCATCTATAACATATGACCCCACAGTCTACTGTAAAAGAGATAGGTTGGATTTGAACTCGGGGCCTTTGGCATGCCAGTTCAGTGCTCTCCCGATTGAGCTAAAGGGTTAACCTTTTCGCTGGCACTCCAAAAGAGATGAGAACATTTCAATCTCTGGAGGAGGACAATAATTTTCGGCTTTCTATTAGCTTGGGCTAGGAGTTAATACTTTAGCTCAACCTAAAGAACACACGACTGGCTTGCCAGAGGCCCCAGATTCAATCCCCAAGTGGAGGCCTATACGTCTTTGTTACAATTGGCGCCCACGTTGGGTATTCTCTGGCGGGTGAAAGTGATTTCTCCAGAACTCCACCCAAACAGCTTCAGCACTTTTAAGAGATGAGGTAATCTTATTCTCTAGAGAGGTCACCTGCGTGACAAAGTGGTTTAAGCGCGCGGAGAAAGAAAATTGATTTTTACGTCGCAGGTTCGAACCCACTGCGGGACGTGGAGACTGGTCCTTCGAGAAGATCGTTTAAACCGAGGCTCCTTGTCGCATTAGGGAGATCCTGCTCACTGGCCCCGAGTGCCGATACATTTATTAATTTTCAGCCCTTTGTCGGCAAGTGATATCGTCTCTGTACGAGTGAATAATTCTGAGTGGGACGTTCAACAAACACTCTCTGGAGTCGCCAGCGTGGCGCAGTGTTTAGAGCGTCTCCTCTAGAGTCGCGAAGTAAGGACGTGATCCCAACATTGTGGGACGTGGAGACCGGTCCTTCGGATGAGACCGAGTATAGGATAAAATTTTCAGCTCTCCACCGGAAAGTGTTGGCGTCTCCATTTGAGTGAAAAATTCTCGAGAGGGATGTTAAACAACAAACAATCAGTCAATCTGGAGGGGACAATGTGTTTAAGTGTGAATTACGGTTTCTTACTAGGCTGGAGTTATATGTACTTCAATCGGTTTAACACTTGACTTGCATGCCAGAAGCACAGGTTCAATCCCAAGCGGAGACATATACATTACCTTAGGATTGAACCCAATATGCTCTCAATTTTTAGCTCTATTGGTCAGAGACCAGAAGAGCTTATGCGATAGTAATGCGCCCGTCGTCCGTCCGTCTGTCTGTAAACAATTTTTCAAAATGCTACTCCTCTTACGGATTTGGTCGGATTTTACTACAACTTGTCACACAAGTAGACTACACTAAGATACATAATTCTGTATATCGGTTTTTGATTTCGATGAACGGTGTTGCCGTGGTTACTAAAAATAGAAATTTCTGTGAAATACTTTAAAAATGCCACTTCTCCTACAGTTTTGGTCTGATTTCTATTTAACTTGGCACACAAGTGCACTACACTAAGATACATAATTCTGTTTATCGGTTTTTGATTTTGATAAACGATGTTGCCGTGGTTACTAAACATAGAACTTTCTGTGAAATACGTTCAAAATGCTACTCCTCCTACAGTTTTGGTCTGATTTCAATATGATTTGGCACAGAAGTAGACTACACTAGGACACACAATTCTTTATATCGGTTTTTGGTTTCGATGAACATTATTAGGGCCCCGCAAGGATTTGCGGGTGCCCTATAGTAATCACTCTGTCTGTCCGTCTGTCACTCTTCCGTCCACAAATTTTCTGTTTTTTTCTAATAACTTTTTTTATGGTTGCCCAATCAAGTTCAAATTTGGTATGGTAGTTCAGTAGGCAAAAATACATATTTTGATGCTAAGTTTGGTTCTCTATGTCTTCTGGTTTGGAGCTGGGGTGGTGGGGTAGATTCCTTAACTATGCATAAGAATGAATGGGCAACTTTTTTTATGGTTGCCCAATCAAGTTCAAATTTGGTATGGTAGTTCAGTAGGCAGAAATACATATTTTGATGCTAAGTTTGGTTCTCTATGTCCCCTGGTTTGGAGCTGGGGTGGTGGGGTACATTCCTTAACTTTATATAAGAATGCATTGGCAAAGAGAGATAACTGCTGAAGATGTTCCCATTGTAAACTGAATGCTGCTATATGAGTCCCTTGGGATTAATTAGCTTTCCTCCTGAAGAAAATCCAGAGCATTATCTTTATCTGTCACATTGAGATGAATTACCACCTCTGTCTGCAAATGACGTTTGTTTTGAAGTTAAGTCAATTTGGAATGCTATGAACACTCTGAAATGTGGATTTGAATATAAATTTTCATAATTTATTTTTGTGGATTTTATATAACACAAGCTTCATAATTGTTTAAATATACATTCAATGTTAAGTCATTCTTTACTGCCTAATGTAAGTACAAGGATATTATTTTCAGGTTTTTGAATGTTCATGAATTATCTTGAAATTTTAAGAATACAGTTGCTGTTGCTTATTCTTCGTACATTTTGAATCATTCCGTAAGCTGCACCCTTTTAATTCTACCCCATGGCGGGGCCCTTGCTGACTGGTCAGTTTTCTAGTTGCCTTGGTTACTAAAAATACAAATTTCTGTAAAATACTCTCAAAATGCTACTCCAAATACAGTTTTAGTCAGATTAAGATATAATGTGGCATGCAAGTAGACTACACTAAGAACATAGAGATACTTAATCAAGGATCATTATTCTATTTATTGCTGTTGTAAAGTTTCAATTCCCAATTGCTACTTTTCTCTTCCTTTGCTATAAGCACAAACCAGTAGAGCTTCAGTCTCGACAGAGACTTCTGGCTATGCTATATAACCAGAAGAAAAATGTACTCAAGAAGATATTAATTTAGTTTTTGTCCTCAAGCTGTTAAATTATTTTTGTTGTAAATAATGTTCTTTTCTCGTAATTATACGAAATCGTCTATTTCTTCTAGTCTATATTTTGTATCAAGAAAGCTTACCGTAAATCTGGAAATTTTTGCTGTAGATAAATTTTTAGCAAAGTTGCGAATTCATTGCATTCGCAAAAATATTTTTCCTAAAAATAAATTACCAATAAGAAAATGTAGACAAAGCAGTGGTAATTCGCAAAATTTTGAAACGTAAAAATTAACCAACACCATTTTGACCCGAATTCGCAAAATAAAATCGACGTAAAAATTTCCAGATTTACGGTATATATAATACAGCAATAGTCCAATGTTATGACTTTTTTTTTCTCAAAAAGTCTCGCTTATTGATACCAAAAACGACCTCGTACAAACAAGATATCGCAATATTTTGCTGCTCTTCAGTTTTTCTGCTCAAGATTTATGAAATTTTGAATTTTAACTCCCATATATCCGTGTTCCAATTTTGGTTGACATGGAACGAAAATGGATATCAGGGTATGACGATATTGTACAAAAAAAATTAATCAGTTCATACGCACACATTTTGTCAAAACCGAGAACAAAAATGTCTTGAGGCTAAGCCAAATGCAACAGTTTCGTTTAAGGCTCGGCGCAACGCATTCTGCACACAAACCTATACCTTTTACGTAATTGTCGAACGAAAATGAATGCAAATTATATAGATATAGTTTGCTAATTTGTTTTGGATGTTTTTACGGAGTGTAAATCGTTGCTCTGGAGTTGCGAAGTAAGGAGATACCCTTACGTCGCGGGTTAGAATCCCACTATGGTACGTGGAGACCGGTCCTTCGGATGGGACTATTTAAACTGAGGTCCCGTGTCGCAGTAGGTGTTGGCATGATCAATGACCATGTATGACTGCAAAATATAGGGGAAAAAATTGCAGATGCCACCGAAAGTGGTGGCGTATCCATATGAATGGAACGGTCACGGTAGCCTAGTGGTAGAGCGTTCGTTTCGTGATCGGGAGGCCCGGGTTCGATTCTCGTTCGTGGCGCCTCGTCAAACCTAAAACGTAAACATAGGCAGTGACCGTTCCTTCGCCAAGCAATCGGCATTAGAAGTGAAAGTCACGGGTCTTTCGAATATGACCTTTAAAACTTTGGTCCCGTGTCACAGTAGGCGTTGGCATGATAAAGAACCCTCACTGCTTAATGGCACTGAATGCCGAGTAAAGGTCTAAATTCGAAGCCCTTCACCTGAATACGGTGACGTATCTACATGAGTGAAAAATTCTTGTATGGGACGTTAGACTATATACAATCAATCAATTCATATGAATAATTTTTTTAGAGGAACGTTAAACATCAAATTATACAATTACAATAATTAGTATAAATCTTCTACATCCAGGCTAAAAAAGAGAATTCGATTGAAAACTAGGAGACATATTTTATGCCAAATTAGGAATACATGTAAATAAAGAGCTCCAAATATAATCGACAGTGTCATATATAGGTTAACTGCAGTTTCCATACTTCTTTCTTACTGCTGTTTCATGTTACTCTCGAGAATTTGTAATCTTATGGAGACGCCATCACTTTTCCAGTGGAGGACTGGATTCTTAGAATCGGCACCCCCTCTTGAACAGTGAAGAATCTTTCTGTGCCAGCACTTACTGTGACACGTTACCTTGGTTCGTATGGTCTCAACCGAAGGACCGGTCTCCATATTCCACAGCACTTGAGATTCGCCGTAAGATCAACTCTTTACTCCACAACTCTATATAGCAGACTCTCCTAACCACTGCACCAAGCGGGCGACGAATATTGAAATCTTACACCCCGTTTTAAATTTAGTATAAACTGTTTACGAATGATATATTGAACAAATGTGACTCTTTGTCGTTCAATTTCTTTAAAAACTGAAATCTGCAATGATTATTTCACAAATTATTATCTGCAAACCTGATGAGGCTAAAGCAAAAGTATGCTTCACAGAGAAGGTGTGGTTCGATTTTTGAACAGACCATCATATCGCTTTACCCTGAATGCCATCTGTAATGTCTAAGTGGTTCACTCAAATAATGGTTAGGCCTATGTATCACATCATGAGAATCTGTTGGACATGCTGATACTATAGTATCAGTCTCAGGAACTATTTCCTACACAATTTTTATCTTCCTCTCATAGAACTCAGGTTCCACGAATATAAAGACTCACGTACTACTAATAAAGCATGCACAAAGATCTTTAGGATTATGATTCTTACCGATTTGTTCACTTGAATTTTGTTGATTTCATCATTCCATATTTGGTATTTTTTACGACAAAGCAGTGGTGGAAATGAAAACATTTTGTTCCCTTTTTATGAGCCCAAGCTCCGTATTTCGGGAAAACAATCTGGCGGCATGGCGTTTTGGCTGTCTGCTATTGATTGCTAAATGTTAGCATGATAAGACTAAGTTTCTCTCCAATTTGATTCTTTGTTCCCAGTTCACGGAGACAATTGGGTTGTGATATCGCCGTCTTAAGCCAATGCCTAAAACGGATTTAGCGATTCATTTATGTTTGAAGTGTATGGAAGTCCAAATGTAGAGCGTCGCCGATCAACAAAGATTTGTTGAAAACCCCCAATCTTCAAACGGACACGATCCCTATAACCGCCAAAATTTAATGGATCTGGGCATAAATTAACTTTCCATTCAGATACTTACTTATATATACTATATAGAACCACGCTAAACTTGATCTTACCCACAGTCCAACCGTAATACAAACTGAGCTTCAGTTACATTCAATGCAAAGAACCTCAAATCCTTCATCTATGTATTAAATATCACTTTATCAGTATTGTTTTAAGCACATTTTTCTTTTAAACATGCATTGAAATCATTTCTTCAAACATGAAATCCTGCCAATTTTCGGAAGTCTACAGTTTGATTACACTTTGTTCGATATCCCCACGTTCCTTTTCTTTTATCGCAACATTTAATGGATTATTTCCTTTACACTTCTTGATCTTATACCCCATGCCAGCTTCCGGGGTAATGGATCTTCTATTCATCTACCATCTAAAGCCTATTTCAAAGAAGAAATCAATGAAATGGTTTGGTTTAGAATTATTTTTTAAATAATATAGATCTCACTTTAGTATGCTGAATAAATGTTGTGAAACTATAAGCGTTACAACATTGTGTCTAGAATTAACGCGCCATGTAGGGAAATTTGTTCTAATCTTCAGTTGTATTGCCAAACTGTGATATATTGGGTTAAGTTATTTCTAGATTTAAAAGTCTCATTTGTCAATGTGCAGTGCATTGTATTGCCTTGATTTGTGCATGCACAATTGTTTCTTCTTTGGCCTCGCAACCATTTCTTGTCCGGGGCTCGGACAACAAAACCCTCTGCGGGAGCATCGTCAGTTCGCTTGGTTACGTTGTTTTCACAGGTGATAAAACGTTCACCTAATTCACAGGTAAATCTAATCTCCTGCCATCATACAGATGCAAATTACCTCAAATGATGACAAATTGCATTCCACTGCAAACGGGAAACTCGGAGCCCTTTTAGTTATATAAATCCGTGTTATTCATATCTTAATTTTAATTTTCAAATGCCGATATATGACTCATGTCTACAAGAGATTTCATAAACAACGAATTTTTGTATTGCAGCCTGCGTTACAGGTAACAGTTAACGAAACATCAAAGTTCACAATTTCATTTTTTCCCTTGTAACAAAAAAATGCCTCCTCCCATATTCTCTTGACCTCGTACGACTTCGTAGCAATATCCAAATATGCACACAGATAATTGCAATGTTTGTGAAATTCTTTTTTTATTGTACAATTTTATATAATCAACATTAATATCATCTATTTTATGCATATAAAATCAGATGACTTTATTTTACGGGAAAAGGTATTAATTTTTTGGTCGGGATCGGCCTGCGGCCTTGGGTATATATAGGTCGGAAAGCTCGGGATCAACATTCTTTTCATCAACTTGCTGGATACAGAGTAGGTTGAATATTTCTTTGTCAAGTTTTTTCATAATATTTGTAAGAAAAATTTTGCATCTGCCTTAAATATATTTAAATTTTGGTTAATGGATAATAAAGTTTGTATGTTCTTAATACTTTTTTAATCCAACGTATATATTTTCTCTGGATTGTGCTGGATTTACAGCCCGATTAAATGTGACACGACAGCCATTTTGAATATATTGTTGCAAATTTTTGCCCGTAGCAAATTTATCAAAAAATTTGTATCTGGTGAATTACAATTAGTAATTTTTGTTTGTTATTTACTATAACGAGCGGAAATGTCTCCCAAAAATAAGACTAAGCGGAATTGCAGACTGAGAGACAACGAGGGCAAAGCATCAAGGTCAAAGAGGTCAAGACAAGAGCGACCAGCGGTAGCGATAGAGGTTGACGATAATCATACAGTTCAGGAACCAGGTCCTTCAGGAAGCATCGCCGCCCAAGAGAATGTAGTTGGTGCCAGAAAGTCGAACTCTACCCCACTGGCCCCAGCACCTGTGCCTGCTTTGGCCATTGAATCTCAATCAGGTACAAGCATTGGTTATGAGAATCAATATGTAGATAGCATTCATTCACTATTGGCTAGCAATGTCTCTAACTCATTGAAGTCTAAAATCATTAGTTCAGCATACATAGAGATTAGTTTGTTGCTTGATAACACTTCCCTGACAGAATCTTCAGAGAAAAAAATATTTTTTAATGAAAAAGGGGAGTTGGTCACAAGAGAGGTTGTTAAACCTAGCAATAAGATTCAAAATATCAGTAAATGGACAGATGCATTCTTAGTTTACTCTAGCATTTATGCTTCAGCCCACCCAGAATCTTACCAGGGTTTGCTGAAATATTTACATGACATAAGACTCGGGGCATCAAGATGTGGGGAGGGGGATTTGGGATGGAAGAAATATGACGAGCAGTTTCGACTTCGCCGCAGTATCGATCCCACCATAGATTGGTCTAAAGTAGACTATGAGTTATGGTTGATGTTTATGTCATCATCCCCACAATCTAAACTAACAATTAAACCGAACAGCCCAGCCTACAACAAGTGCTATAATTTCAACTTCAAGGGTCATTGTGACAGACCTTCTTGCCAGTACATGCACAAGTGCATTAAATGTTCTGGGAGTCATCCACAATATTTGTGCCCTCAATCTAATTATGTTGGGAAGTCCACAAGTTACCCAAGGGGACCACTGCAGGGACAGCCTCAAGTTAGACCCTTTTGTCACACCCAACCCAAACCCCAAGACCACAAAGGTATATGGGCCCTAGGAAATTCCCCTATTAATGTTGAAAAGTTAAATGAATATTTGCAGCCATATCCAGACAAATATGCTGCTAATTATATAAAAAATGGGTTTTCAAAGGGTTTTGAAATAAATTATACAGGCCCAAGGTGTCATGTGTTTTCAAAAAATCTTAAGTCTGCAAGTGAACACCATGATGAGTTGATGGAAAAGATAAGTAAGGAATTAAAGCTTGGCCGAATCATGGGTCCTTTTGATCAACTTCCAATTTCTAACCTCCATATTTCACCAGTTGGTATTGTCCCTAAATCTGATGGAGGGTGGCGAATGATTACCCATTTATTCTATCCTAGTTCCCAGGGGATCAACGACTTTATGGACCCAGATTTATGTACAGTGCAGTATGCATCATTTGATGGTGTAGTCAATATGATTGCAAATTTGGGAAGGGGCGCATTGATAGGTAAGATGGATATTAAAAGTGCTTTTCGTTTAGTTCCGATAAATCCAGGGGATTTTGACTTGTTAGGTTTCTCTGTAGATGGATTATATTACATAGATAAATGCCTTCCCATGGGTTGTTCCATTAGTTGCAGAATTTGGGAAACATTTGCAACTTTTCTACACTGGCTTGCTCAGTTCAAGTCTGGATTGAATACATTAGATCATTATTTAGACGATTTCCTTTTTGCAGGTAGGTCTGGTAGTGATGAATGTGAAATTCTAATGTCTACTTTTAGTAACTTAGCTGGGGATTTAGGGGTACCTCTAGCCCATGAGAAAACTTCTGGTCCAACAACAAAATTAATATTTCTAGGTTTTGAAATTGATACACTAGAGATGACAATTAAGATCCCAGAAGCTAAGTTAGAAATCCTGAAGAGTCTGATTGAAAATTTTTTAGATAGGGAAAAAGTTACACTGCAAGAAATGCAGTCTTTAGTTGGAATGCTCAATTTTTTCTCAAAGGCAATCAGATCTAGTAGAGCTTTTATTCGAAGAATGTATGATGCATTTAGTGGAGTTTTCAAGCCACATCATCATATAAGATTATCAGTAGGAATTAAAAGTGACCTTAGAATGTGGCTGGTGTTCTTGAACCATTTCAATGGGGTTGCATATTTTCCTAATACTGTATGGGAAGATTCTAGCATTTTACAGTTATTTACAGATAGTGCAGGTTCAGGTCATTTAGGTTGTGGTGGTTACTTTAGTGGAAGTTGGTTTTTTCTCCAATGGCCAAAACATTGGAACAACCAAGAAATTTTGAGAGACATGACTTTTCTTGAGCTCATACCAGTAGTTTTAGCAATAGAGATATGGGGACCTAGGTTGTTACATAAAAAAGTTCAGTTTCATGTTGATAACCTTTCATTAGTTAGTGTCATCAATACCCAATCTTCCAAGTCCAAAAGAGTGATGGAATTGGTAAGACATTTGGTTCTTAGACTGATGATCAATAATGTTATATTTAGGGCAAATCACATTAGTAGCTTGGATAACAAAATTGCAGATTCTATTTCTCGCAAACAGTGGTTCCGCTTCAAGACGTTAGCACCAGAGGCAAGCACCAGACCAGACCCTCTTCCAGTAGAATTAGTCAACATGATTTACAGATTCAAATGAATAAATTGCTAGATGCTTCAATCTCTGAAAACACTAAGACAGCATACGAAACAGGACAAAATTCATTTTATAATTTCCGGAAAGAATTTGGGTACGAAATTTCATGGCCCCCACCTCTTAGAGATGTTGTTCACTTTGTTGCTTATCTGTCACTTAAGAAGTGTTCCTATGCTACGGCAAAATCTTATCTATCTTCTATTAGTTTTCAATGCAAAATTCACAATTGGGTTGATGAAACAAAGAACTTTCTGGTTGTGAAGGTTCTTGAGGGTATGAGAAGAACTGGTAGGTCTGCAGATGCAAGGCTACCTATAACCTTGCAGTTGCTTACTGAAGTTGTTAGGGTTTTATCGAGCATTTGTAGCAATAGTTATGAAACAAAATTGTTCAGAGCTGCTTATATATTAGCCTTCTTTGGTTTTCTCAGAATAGGGGAATTCACATTGTCTGCTGGTAATAGTGTTCATACAATTTTACAAGTGACTGATGTTCAATTTGAAGCTAATTACTCCAAGGTTTTTGTACACATAAGAATGTCAAAATGTGATCAGGATAGAAAGGGGGTTTCTTTAGCCATTGATAAAAGTGGGGGAATCCTGTGTCCAGTAGCAAGTTTGATAGATTATCTTGCAGTAAGACCAAAAATTAAAGGGCCTTTATTTATCCACTGTGGAAAAAATCCCCTTACCAGATATCAGTTCTCTTCGGTTTTGAAAAAATCACTTCAGGTTTTGGGGGTTCAGGGGCATTATAGGGCCCATTCATTTCGTATCGGGGCAGCCACTGCAGCATTTGAAGCGGGGTGTTCACAAGATGTCATAATGGAAGCAGGGCGTTGGAAGTCTAGGGCATACAAATCGTACATAAGATGTCCTGTTGGGCAGATGTTGGGGGCAAATAAGTTGTAATTTCGTAAATATAACAAGAATTATTCAAATTATTGCATACATTTGTAGAGGTCTCTGAAGTTAAAGTCTGGTGTGTGGGCTCCTCTATTATTAAGAATGCAATGATGGCATCAGTATGCAGACCGGGGGGAACAAATCTTGGATTGGATAGATTGAAAATAAATATCTGGTGGCAGGGATATTCAGGTTTGAATTTTTTGGGACTTAAAAGAAAGCTCTTTTTTCTGACAGAATATGAGGAATCCCCAGACTTTTTGGTTATTCACTGTGGGGCAAACGATTTAGGATCAATTGATCTGTATACTCTCATTGAGAAAATTAAATCCCATCTAAAGATTATCAAGACTCGCTTTCCACATTCTACACTTGTTTGGTCACAGATGCTGCCACGAAATAAATGGAGGTATTCGGGGGACAATAAAGCAATGGAGCGTTCCCGTCTTAAGGCCAATAGGGTAGCTGCTTCATTAGTGTTAGAGTTGGGGGGTTGTTACATAAAGTACCCTGATTTATTGAAAAACATATCGCAATTTCTGTTGCCAGATGGAGTACACCTCAATGACCTAGGAAATAAACTCTTTCTAAATAATATCCAAGGGGGGTTAGAATTTTTCCTGTCAAAGCAAGGAAATGTGTATCCTTAAACAAAACATCAAGAACATTGGTCCGTGGGGGCTTTTTGTCAGTTGCTTGGGTGCTCCCCCATGTGTGGGATGACTGCGAACTCTCCTTCGGTTGTTCGCTGTCATGTGGCGTTTGCGCACACCAAAGCAACTGAGGCCTACAGAAACTTTGTATTGTTGTGAAGTTTTCACCATTGAACTGTGAAGGGGGTTGAAATGTTGAACCATTTTATATGTAAAATATTTGCTGATATGTTGATATAATTTGTTTTGTGCTTGAATTGTGCATATAACTAATTACACTTAAATAAGTAACCTTAAATAAGTAACCACCCGCGGTTTACCCGGGGTGGTCATTTTTTGCACATATGACTTGTTTGTGTTGATGAATTTTGTTGAATTTGTGTGGGTTTGCCCAAAAGTTGTGTGTATTAATTGGCATCCCACAAATTACTATGCCACGGCCAATGTTCGCCAAAATAAAGGTTAAAACAAACATTTTGTTGTCTTTTCCCTGTATAAATAATTACATTGAGTGAAAAAATATGAGAAACAAAGGGGAAAAAGAAACATGACAATTATGTACTACGAAGTTCAACATTTTTTAAATGATCTGAATAAATCTAAATTGTATCTGGAACGAGTTTCTCCCCTTTTAGCAGAGCTTGATATATGGTTATCAGATCTTGGGATCCTGATTTCTCTCATCAAATTTTAAAACGATTTATTTTCCTCCTTAATCAAACAAAAAAAAATAATGACTTCGTTTTGTGGTCACATTCTAGTTAAAAGGGGTTATAATGTAACGGAAGGTGTGGTGCAGTAGTTATAGTGCGTCTGCTATAGACTCTCAGAGTACAGAGTTGATCCTCATGTCGCTGGTTCAAATCCCCCTGAAGCATGTGGAGATTGGTTCATTAGACAAGACCGTGTAAACCGAGGTCCCGTGTGACAGTTGGTGTGGGGACGAAAAGATCCCTTTCGGTTCAATTACCCTAAATGCCGAGTATAGGTATAAATTCGCAGCCCTTCACTGACAAGTGGTGTGTCTCCATATGAGTGAAAATTACAACAAACAAATAATGGCCTCGCTGATCCGGAAAAGACTTTGATTCCCCACTCACCAAAGAATAAAATATAAAAACCAGAACACTACAATTCTGAAGCTATCCTTAATGCGGCTTCATCCTACGGGGAAGGACTTTTAAGAGGCAGTTCCCCTGTCTTTGACCATATCTATCCTCTTCGTGCCCGCTAGCACATAAGAACCAAATACACTTCCTTCTACTGACTCTGTCTTTAGCTACTGTCCTGTGTCTCTTCTTTTGTTCTTCGCGTTGTTTTTGACCGACCTACTTTCCTCCTTCCTTCTGGATTTCATGTCAGTTGCTTGACACAGAAAAATTGTAATGCCTCTATAATTATCACATACCAATCTACCAATCTATTGAATTTCTTTGAAATCTTCACAATCAGGGCTTTATTCTTAACCGACGTTATACCGCTAGTTTCTTGCTTCCAAATAGTTATGAAGATTTTTTTTCGAAATAACTTGCTGTTGCCGCTGTGTCTTGTTTTACCTCTGTTTACTAGTATTTATCAGCTGTTATCCAATTAATTCCCCTAGCTTTTCCTGTCTTTAGTTTCTTAATAACCTTGATGATTTCTGCTTTCCGTATGGGGCTTGTATATATTTCATCTACTACTTGTCCATCGCTTTCAACTTCTAATGGGTGTTGGTTGTAGGCGGTTTAATGAATGTTCCACCTTTTCTATCTTGGCTGCTCAAGATCTTGCCCTATTTGTCGTTTATTGCTGTTGTCAAGCCTTTCTTCTCATTACTTAGAACTGTAGTTTTCACATACTCTTGTTAATGGCTGCTCTTTCTGTTTCAGTAATCATATCTTCGAATTCTGTCCACTTTTACTTCTGTCATCTCTCATGCTGTGATTTGTTTCTTAAGCTTCTTTTAACCTTTTTGATCCGCTGTTGGTAAGTTGGCGTTACTGTTGCCTCCTTTCTTTTACCAACTTCCAAGAATCTTTTGTTCCTTTTCTTTTACTCAAGTACGCTGTTTGCTGTCTCGTTGTAACCCTTTCTCATACTTTCCCAGATGTCCTCAACATGTTCCATTTTTTTAATGATTGGAATCTATTTTTTTAAGCTCCAAGATGAAAACTCTCCTTTTCTCTAGCCGTTGTAGTTATTTATTTTTTGGAACCAGTATTCCTTTCGCGTATCTGCATTTCGGCTCTATTTCTTCAGTTTTAGTCTGATCGTATTCCTTCTTAGTTCATGATACAGCCCTACTGCTTGCATAAGCTCCTTTCATCGCTCTTGTATCTCAGATGGATGTTCTGCGTTGTTTTGATATGATTGATTAATTGTGTATTGTTTAACGTCTCTCTTGAGAATATTTCACACATATGGAGACGTCACCGTATGCCGGTGAAGGGCTTCCAAATTTTGACCTATACTCGGCACTCAGGGCCATTGAGCAGTGAGGGTTTTTAGCTCACCTCAACGAAGTTGGGGGGAGCTTATGTGATACCCTCGGCGTCGGCGTCCCGGGTTAAGGTTAAGTTTTTTGGAGCAGTTTTCTTTTTAAGTACTTCTATGTCCTATATTGATTAGACATGCATGGAAGATGTTTCTAATGTGTTTCATTGTACCAGTCAAAGTTTCAGATGCTGCAATTTCAGCAAAGGAATGACCAGGTTAATGTTTTTGGTGCAGGTTAACATTTTTGGTGCAGTTTTTGGTGTCTCATTTCCGAGTAACTATAAGCCCTATGTTGACCAAACTTACATGGATGGTACATCTTAGGATACATACTACCAGACTTGCTTCGGATGCTGAATCTGTTTTCCGGTTGAGTGAACAGGTTAAAGTTTTTGGTGCAGGTTTCATTTCCAAGTTTCTATGAGACATATAATGACCAAACTTGCATGGATGGTATATCTTAGGATGCATATTACAAGACTTGCTTCGGATGCTGAATCTGACCTTCATTTTCCGGTTGAGTGAACAGGTTAAAATTTTTGGTGCAGGTTTTTTCCAAGGTACTATGAACCCTATAATGACTAAATTTGCCTGGATGGTACATCTTAGGATGCATACGACCAGACTTGCTTCGGATGCTGAATCTGACTGGTTGAGTAAACAGGTTAAAGTTTATGGTGCAGGATTCATTTCCAAGTAACTTTGAGCCCTATAATGACCAAACTTGCATGGATGGTACATCTAAGGGTGCATTCTACTAGGCTGGCTTCAGAAGCTGAATCTGACCTACATTTTCCGGATTAGTGAAAAGGTTAGTTTTTTATACAGGTTTCATTTCCAAGTAACTTTGAGCTCTATGTTCAACAAACTTGCATGGATGATACATCTTAGGATGCACACTAATGGACTTGCTTCAGATGCTGAATTCGACATACATTTTCCAGATAATAGACCTCGTAAAAGTTATGGGTGCAGGTCTATCACCAAGAAACTATAAGGCTTATTTAAACCAAAGTTGCACAAATGATGCATCAAGGGATGAAAACTCTCAATCTTCCTTCAGATGCTGCATTTTAATTACATTTTCATGATGAAGAACTAGTTTTAAATTTTCATATAGGTCTATTCCAAATTATCAAAATTGCATAAATTTTGCATTTTTGGATGTAAACTTTTTGTTGGTTAATTGTGTGACTTAATTTGCCTTACTTAAAGACAACATTCGTTGAGATGAGCTCTGTAATTTCTGATTACCTATGTTTTATCTTGCAAGCGCCTACCGTGACACGAGACCTACGTTTTTAAGGTCATATCCGAAAGACCCCTGACTTTCACTTCTAGTGCCGAGCGCTTGGCGAAGGAACAGTCACTACCTTTGTTTACGTCTTAGGTATGACGCGGCGCCGCAAACGAGAATCGAACCCGGGCCTCCCGATCACGAAGCGAACGCTCTACCACTAGGCTACCGTGATTTGATTTGTGTTTTGATATGAGCACATGATTTAGCACATTATTTGGTTTTCGGTTGTCCATCAAGTGAGATCCAGGAGGTCTTGTGCCTTGATTTTAAAGAAATAGCGGTATTTTACCTTTTATTACTAAGTTGTTGATCAGCCTGTTGATCTCGCACATATCCAGTAGGCGTTCTCGGTTTTCATTTCGTTCTTCTATTACATGCTTTCACGTGAAACTTTCATGGCCTTTGCTGTTGTTGCCAATCTTTGCATTGAATTCTCCAATAATGAGCAATATGTAATGTTTTAGAATGCTATTGATGATTTATTGCTTCCTTTATCTCTTTAGGGTTTTCATTTGTTGATCGTATACTGTAATATCATATCAGGCACCAACTCGCTTGAATTTTTAACCCCCCCCCCCTGCCCTTAGTACAATAGTATATTAAATAGATCTTTAATATAGATGGACTAGGGGGTCAAACATTCAAGCGAGTTTGGTGTCTGCATGTGACTACAATATCAGGCTCATTTTTAGAGCTGATGTGTAGAGTCTTCCGTATATCAATCTCTTATTTATGGATTGCCATCCCATCAGTGGCTTCTAAGCTCTTTTTCAATATCATTCCTTCTTTGTAATTTAACCCCTTGTCCTGAGTAAACACTAGTTTCCTTCATTACAATGTAGTTTTTCTATTCATGGGTCATCTAATTTAACTGAGTCAAATTATAGCCAGTCAATATCTATCCCATATCTTCAATTCTATCTGGGCTGTTTTCCATGTAATAAACATAAATAGCACATTCTAGCACTATATCTCAGTCGGTAGAGCGCTTGTCGGAAGGTTGTGTGTTCGAATCACGTACGGCAGCGACTGACCTAATCGGAAAAATAGGCAGGAAATGTTTCACCAAGCGCTCGGCACTTAGTGAAAGTTGCAGGTCTTTAGGATGAGACCTTAAAAACCGGGACCCCGTTCCACATTAAGCGTTAACACGGAAAAAAACCCTCAAAGCCCAATAGCCCTGCGTGCCGAGTAAAGGTCGCAACCCTTCACTGGTAGATGATGTCGTTACCGTAATCATGCAGATTTTACTCTGCCTGGTGATAGCCATGCTGCCCCCCCCCCCCCCGGACTTGGGAGAATTTAATTGGTTTTTCTTCCCATTGTCACATTGTTACAAGAATCATTTCAAGTGATGTGGATTAAACTTTGTTCAAATAAAGGGGGTAACTGCTTGTTCGGTCTCAATTGATGTTTCCAATGCCAATAGGTCTCACCTTACAATACACTGAGTAATGCCAATTGTCTGCCACCGAATCATATATCACACTTCCATGTTTGGTGACCCTGGTAATGCTTTGTAGCGAAGTGAGAGTGGTGACAGTGGTGAAAAACGAGACTCTGGCGTCTATGAATAACAGATGAAGCAGAATCTGTTGTGTCTTTTATTCACAGTCCACAGAGGAATATTTCTAGTCGACATTTTGAAGTAAATATTGTTACTTGATATGACAAGTCGTTGATATCAAATCAAATTCCACAGCAAGTTTTCATCTTGTATTAAAGATTTTAAATAAATTCTGCTCATAGGTATTTAAAAACGGGTAGGGGCACAATATGGGTCCACTGAAATCTAAACAGATTGTTTGAAGATCTGGTCTCCAAAGACTACAGAGATGTGATTATTGAGGAAGTCTAGCATCTTTTCAACACCGACTTCAGAGTACTTGTGTAGAATCACAACGATATTTAACGGGGTAATTTTGTTGATTAGCAGTCCCAAGATAAGAATTTCGCAGCTGAATCATTGAAGTCGGTGCTGTTTTTTTTTTCAAATACTAATACTCCCCTGGAAGTTTATATAATGAGTTCCATGACACCTCCAGTTTGGCCACATTTGTTTCGATAACTGTTGGGTCACACTCAACACGTATGTGTTTCACAAATACATGTATGTATCAAATAAAAAGGGAAATTTTTGTCGAAGCGTTATTATAAAATTATAGTTATACTTCGGTAATATTTAATATTATACTTTCATGTAAATTAGTTGAATCTGATTGGTCGAGAAACATTTGTTAAAAAACACTATTACGAGGGCTGTTCGAAAATTATTGAGACATTGTTTATATTTTGCTTTCTAATGGACGTCTTTCGGTGAAAATTTGCATATACGTTTGACATACATTAAAAATTAATAAAAGCAAAAAATATTTTACAAATATTAAACATTTTCTGTACAATGGTATATAAATGCATCATCAGTGGGGGTAAAATCAGATATTGAAAGTATGTAACACCAACGCCCTCCAACGAAAATAATTCAGCAAATTTTTCAGTTAACATTGTTTGTTAAAATTTTGATCATGAATACAGATATCATAAAAAAGATTTAGCGCGGTGATATTAGAACAAAAAATTTTGATAGCGACTGCAAAGAATTTTGTGTATGCGCGCACGGTTTACAACTAATGTGTATATGTATTTGTATAAAACATTCAGCATAATATAATAAATATAGCATGAAAATTTTACACTCGGGTAGCAACAGCATACATTTTTAAGGAATAGGAATGTAACATGTTATATGTAATTACAAAGAAGGAAATTTATTAAACGATTCCCGATCATTTTACATGCGAAACCATCTCCGGCTGACGTGACGTTAAATGACGTAGTGATGCTGCTCCGGGTCGATAGACAAATGCTTGTTTATCATTTCACGAAAACTTTTCTTATTATCATAGGAAATTGAAATTTTGCATAAGTATTTTATTCGATCTTTATAAAATGCTGATGAATTTTCATGAAACTATCTCCGCCCTTTATGGAGTAAATGTAATATTTCAATGTTACAACAGTTAACTACATGCACATTTATTTATATATTTGTATAAAACATTCCATTGTAATGTGATTATTAGTCAATAACCGAAGAAATTTAATGGTTTTCGTGGGGTGAAAATGTTCAATGTCACACTCAACTACATGCAATATTTATATAATATTCCATTGTTGTGATTATTAGTCTATAACAAAAATATAAAAAATATGCATTTTACTGTTTAAGAAATTCAGAACATTATTTGCACTGCGAGAGGCAGTCGATCCGTTTTTTTCCGTCGTCAACACTCGGTTTTATTTATCCAGCTTTTAAAATGCTTACTACTTTTATTGCATTGATTATATTTACTCTTGTCATCTATGATCAGCTATTGTGTTAATAGCTGAGGGAATATAATAGGTAGACACAATGCGCACCATTAATAAAACGGGTGAAAGATCTCTTCTAACCTATATCAAACGGGCCAATATAGCAGTCACAACATAGATTTTGTCTCAACGAAATTGTCCTCTCGGCGAAGGCCTTACCAATATGACGGAAGAATGGGTAACCCGTTTTGGGAAGAATTACAATGATTTGTCTTGCAAGTAATCGAACGGTATACCTGTCAGCACGCCGGGAAGAAATGGAAAATATTGCTCTCTTCTACATAGCAACACTAAATTTTGAATTCACAGCAGGAAATTGATGTATTACAAAATAATCCACCGTTGTAACTCATAAAAGGAAAATTAAAGATTACGTTGGAGACCTAATCAAAATGCATCTTTTTGGTAGGAATAGGGTAATCATTTATCAGTCGGACTTGTTAAGGCAATGGGTGACACGACGTGAATTTAAGATATTGACAGATTCCGACAGGAGTAAGGACGGGGACGATTTCTACTGAATAAATAGAAAGTAATACTGTATACAGGGTTATTTTCGCCCCGTCTTATTTTCGCCCTTTCACACTTACAAACAATTTTGCCCCGTTTTAAATTCACCCAGTCATAGTTTTGTTTAAGAAATTATACTGTATTCTTTGAATTCGTCCCGTTTTAAATTGTCCAAATGAGGGTAGGGCGAAAGGGGCGAAAATAAAACGAAGGCGAAAATTTCCCTCTATACAGTATTTTCTATCAATCCAAATAATGTCCGGTACTTTTGAACGCCAACGTTCATGAAATTACAGACAAAAGAGACAAAACAATAAAAGTTTAGTACACATATTATGATAAAACCCTTTCAAGATAAAAATCAGAGAATCATATTTATCTTACTGCTTTACAAGATAATAAATAAATCAGAAATAAATTATTAAAAAAACCACACAACATATTATGACTATGAAAGTTTGCCTCACTGAGGGGAAAAACTGACTACACTGTAGTGATAATTTACATAACAAGGACACCGCAAAGCCGAGCAACCCCTTGCAAAGAACATACCGGGTATCTAAAAAAATCAAGGCAGCATTCTATATATCGATCAAATTATGTCACTCCCGTTTCGCACTGGACATAACCCTACAAACAAACACACACACACACACACACCCTCACATCCTCCCTCACACACACACGATTGGACTATAGCCCCTCCACTGCGAAGGGATAACAAACAATACTGAAATAAAATGTATCATCATCGCATGACAATATATACATGTATATATGAATTCATTTGTTGCGGTCAGACGGGTTTGATCCCGGGTGGCCATCTAGCTCAGTTGGTACAGAGCACCTGACTGGAGCTTCAGGGGGCCCGGGTTTGAATCCTGGTCTGGTCCGCTGCATTTTTCTCCGCTCAGGAAAAAATTTAAATAGAGTCAATGGCTCGGAAATTTTCTTTCATGAGATTAAATGAAAAATTGCAGCAAACATGTATGTCTTAATTAACATTAAAAAAATAAATTATTTAGATTTAATTATGTCAAAACATAAAATGACACATTACTTTACATTATAATGTTTGCATTTCTTTGATCATAGAGCTTACTTCACCATTAAAGTTAAAGCGTTTTGCTTTGGTTAATCGCTGAACAATTTATAATGAAAACCGTCCACTTTCTGGGAGACAACTGAATCTACCAAATTGCATCTACAAAGGGTTTGGGAAAACCGGGTATTCTATTAAAGGGTAAAAAAATCAATTTGACATTGACAATAAGAACTATGACGAGACAAGGTTTCCCTGTACAATAAAGGAGAGAAAGTGTGTACAAAATCGGCCAGTCGTGGTGAATCGATTCTATTGACTGTCAAGCCAGTCTCCAACAGTCGGTTGGGTGTTAGGTATTTAAAAGTTTTGTATTCGTAAGAAATCATTCGGCGGACAGTTTAAAAATCTTTTGTACATTAGTGTATTTACACAGGAAATTTGAAAATATAAGTGAAAACGTATCTAAGGTTTCCCTCTCTTTTTCTGGAATTGGCAATCTCGTCTAGACAAAGTTTCCGTTTTTCAGCAGTGTTGACTGTTTCCCGGGAAGTTTTCAGTTCCTTTGCTGGCTATTCCTTAGACAGATTTATATTAAAGTCATGCCGGAGAAGATGTGGAATACCCAGTATATGGAAGATTTCAACAAAAAACGGTCAAGAAGCAAAACCAAGAGTACGCCATCAGAGGCATGGCGGCACAGCAATCATCATCCCAAAAAGGTCAGATTACTAAACTATAATCATAGTTACAGAGACTGAAGAGAAACTGGAACGTGTAAACAACTTATAATCTCAAAAATTCGCTTCAAAAGTTTAAATAACCATCCCTCATATTTTCACTTTTAAAATAATAGGTTTCACCTAATACGATTATTTTCCTTTTTAAATTTCGATCTCATATAGACATGTTTATATAAACATTTTAGAGTGCCATGCTTAAGATCTTCACTTACATACTTCATAATATTATCGACATTGAAATTTAAACGAATACAGTTGTACTAGTATGATAAACGAAAATTTCCATTAACATTCCCAAAGATCATCAATAAGTATTGTGAAAAGCTTTTTGTACATAAGGTTTATAGAGCCATATCTCGTTTTAAAATTGAAATTCAACTTTTACTAAATAGTTTCTCCTGTTTAAATAGGTATTCATGTTGGAGTATGGTAATTTTAAATCTGAACATTCTTTATTATTACGTACAGCTTTCATTTACGAAAATGTATGTCAAAAATCAATAGATCTTTTAATTTGATGCGGTGACCATAAAATCAATTTCATTTAATTTGAATGCATCAATATGAAATTATGAATATAAGAAGTGATACTCAGAATAACTGAAAGTTGGAGAATTAATCTCTCTCTCTCGCTCTCTCTCTCTAAGGTGAACTGTACACAATTGGCTGATCATGTGTTATCAATATTTTGCAAGCAGAGGATTACGTAGGTACTTGGGGTATTTGGAAGTTCTTATGTGACACACGCCTTCAACACTCAATAAGTTTATTGTTACATTAATCCCAAGTACTTTACAATCTCTTCATATTGATTATCATGAACAGGGTTCTTCTTCAAAGATAAAACTTTAATTATTTTTTATCAAACTGTCACTTGGTTTTCAAGCAATTTTAAAACAAATTACGGACCGGGTGGATATTTACTTTTCCGTACATTTAATATTGATTCCTATTGCTCTATCGGATTATGTCGGGATTTTTTTTTATTTATACAAACTTTATCTATTGGAAAACACCCATTTTTTGCATGTTGCTTGCATAAATGTATGCATTTTCATACCTTAGATAATTGTTTAGCTGAAAATGGGAATATGATCGAGTTTGTTAAGTCGTTTATTAGTAGGCCGCATACTGATGATATCATGGTTAAAAAATAACAGTCCAGAAGCTTTCTACTAGCTGTCGTGACAATGTCTAATCACCAACCTAGTCACTCGAAAGCAATTTCAACTAATAATAAATAGTCAAACAAAGGGGAAGGATAATACGTGGAAATTGTGTTTGGAACCATCATATCTGTGAAATGACGGTAAATTGGCATTGTCTATACTCTTTTGTTGTGATGACGCGCCTCGCCTTTGGATATTTGAATTGGTCATTTAACTTTTTGAACATTTGTTTTGTAAACCGTAGTTCTCAATCAACAGTTGTAAGGAATCTTAATCGGATTTCAATATAATCTATTGAGAGATCACCTCGATCACTCTCTGTCTGATTATTCACTTTCTAAAGAGCCAGGGTAAACTATATCTTTACATGTAATCCAGGACAACTTACAAAAATATGTACATATACAAATGTAAGCCACAAATACACAATTTAACAAGGGTACCACAAAGCGAAGCATCCCCTCGCAAAGAGCATAATTCTATCTATAAATCAAGAGAGTATTCGACATCGATCCCGATGCAAATACGTCACTTCCGTTTCGCACAGTACATAACCCACAAACAAACAAACAAACAAACACACACACACACACACAATGGTGTAAATCCGTTGCGAGAGAATAATGATTACAGTTAAAATCATTTCTCCGGTTATTACATGTAATTTAGAGAAATCTTATTTCATATTTATGATATTTGAATTTACAATCCAGTTTTTACGTCAATATTGGCAAGTTCTAAAATAATTTAATCAAAATTTAATTATCAATATATCCTGATGTGAGGTAAAATAGTTTTTTTTTTTAGATTATACAATATCGCTCATAAATCGACGATTTGATAACGATATGGGGATATTTGAGAAGAAAAGAAAGTCAATATAATTTTGGAAAGTGATTAACCGGAAATTTCATTCTGCGCATTGTGTCAACGTTTATTACACCCCGTTTTATAAAGCAAGATGTTTAAAGTTTAGCCAATGAAATTGTATGAAAGCTTTAAAGAACATTTATAAAAATGTTTTTAACCACTAGCATTTTAAAGAAAAACATATTTCAAAACGGATTCTTATTTTAAACCTTAATTTTTCAATGTTTACTGAAAATGAAAAGTGATAATGTGCATATAATAACTTTTTAGAGTACTATTTGTGTAAATAGATTACAACAAGTAGTTCATTAGATTCAAGGATCCAGTTTCCTACACACCATTAAATACCTCCAAGAGTCTTGTAAAACTCATTTCCTGTAAATGTTTCAGTAAAAACAATTTTTTGTTATTAAAGAATGTTTCTTTTCTGTTTTTTTTTTTTTCATTTTCTACAAAGTTTCATTCAAACGACATACATGCATACCTTTTTAAATAGAAGCTGATCAGAGTACTGAGCAACAGAGAGAGAGAAAAAATAGAATGTTTAAAACTATCCTCATTATGGGTGAAATTTGCAGTAGGAAGAAAATATTCAAGTATCGAATATTTTAACATCTGCAATGATACCAATTCACAATTTTTTCCCCAAAATTCATTAGGACTTTCTGGACTCCAGAAGACCAAAAACAGCAGGTACAAACTCTTGGTATATAAAGAAGGCACAGAAGAATTTGGAGGAACGATCACGTGCCAGTGACGTAGCTAGTCCATTCATCGACAGCTTCAGTAACATGTTAAATGAAGAAATTGGTCCTTACCAGGGGACATTTATGGAAAATTTTGTCAGTCCTTACCCTTCCCCTTACCCCAGCCGCGTACACACACCGGCCCCACCCACAGACCTACAGATATCGGGGGAGAAGATCATTCTGAACAACAGTAAGAACATACTTGTAATGTTTCAGCGAATAAAGTTTACTGAACTTAAAAAAAATATGGTTGGTGCAACCTATTTCAAGAGAGTACAAATACAGTAATACGGCTATTGAAATAATTCTTTTGGACCATGTTTTGCAACATATTGAATAGTAGAAAATGACTTACAAAAAGAAGCAGTTATTAATTTTACACGAAGAAAAAAAATTGAAATAGATTATATTTGTAGTTTATATATAAGTTATATTTGTAGTTTGTGAAAATATATTTGTAGTTTATATATAGGTTATATTTGCAAATAAACAGAGAAAATCAAAGTAATTCAAAACGGTTGACATTACATCAAATGATGCAACTGCGCAATTTTGTTTTCCTTTTCAACAGAAGAGATCTCGAAACAATACCTGATAGAGTTGTACGAGCAAGCAATGGCTAAAAAAGAAGAAGAGGAGGGAAAAGAAGAAGAAAAGGCAGAGGAAAAGAAGGAAGAAGAAGGTGAGTATTGAAAACCAAGGTGGCGGATCCAGATTTAATTAATTAAGATTGGGCAAACCTTCTGGAAAAGATCTAGAGACATACTACTATTAATTAGTGTCGCGTTATCAAGATTGTAAAAACTTTTTTCAAACAACCACCCTATAGCATTTTGATATTTCAATATTTTCAAGATTTTATTGTATTTAGGACATATACACAACAAATAAAATAAGTTTACACTCCATTATATAGACAACAAAACTATTCTTCCTGTAAAGACTACCTGCAATGAACTAAAAACTTAATTGAAACTCAGCAAGTTGGCGCTGCAGAATTTGACATGTCTGGGTTTTTAAATATTGACATGTAGTGTAGAAAAAATAGATGATTACTAAAATATGCATAATGTAAGGGCTTATTTTTTTACTTTGAAAAGAGGAGAAAGAATTTAATTTTTTATTAAGATCGTTTCGGTTTAAAAGGACAATGAAAAGTAAAATTCACTTTGTCAACAAGGTTTATCCTCTATTTAATCTAGATCTTTTTCAATAAAATCAATGGATTTTCTGGCATTGAAGTAGCTTTTATGATAAAGACGTTTGAATTTGTTCATAATTTATCACACAATTGCTGGTAAAAGCCCAACGTTTTTCCGTCGTGAATCAACTGTAACAATTTATGTTTTAAACCTACTTTGGGGTGATATTTTTTAAGTGAATTATCCTCGGGTACCGAAACGGGCACCTGTTGATAAGGAGGCGAGGAGAGAGGTCTTAAAAGTTGCAAATCCAAGGATTACGTATACTTAGGCATTCACAATACCAAATCAAGGCCAGTGTCGACTAGGGATAACTTCATTAATTTTTAAATTCGACCTCTCTAAAATTAGACAGAAAGTGTTAAAGTTATTACCGCATGGCTATATGGACTTTGAAGGTACGCTAGTCTGGAATTAATGCCGTCTGTGCATGTTTGGATAAATGACCAGTGACGATGAAGGTAACCACAGTCCATATACCACCTAAATCAAACCGTAAACCCATCCTCCGGAACCCGTCCCCGGCTACATTTTATCCTACCGGTAAGAGTCTGGATTTAATTAATCAGGATGCCTGTATATTGATATATTTCTCCATTTCATTACTGTCAAATTACTCTAAATAATTTTATATAATGCTCTGCGTTATTTTGTATGGGATAATCCAGAAAACTTAAAGAGATTAGGAATAACTTAAAACTATTAAACTGAAATTGATTAATCCCTGTAAATTATACATGTAGTTCGTGTTCTAAGTAGATAAACTTTACTCTTGGATATGAATAATATAAATCTATATTATTTTCTCTGTACTTTCTTATGTTCATCGATCGCGGTAATCTCTAGTGGTAAGGAGTTCGCTTCGTGATCGGTTCGAGGTACTAGGTTCGATTCTCATTCCCAGCGCCGCCTTAAACAAAACAACGTTTTTCGACAAGTGTTCGGCACTAGAAGTGCTTTCTTTCGATTCTTTCTAATTCTTGTGATTCTTTCGAATGAGACCTGAAAAGCATGTCACGGTAGGCGTTGGCACGATAAAGAACCATCACTGCTCAAAGACCTTGAGTGTGGAGTACAAATCTCAATTTGAAGCCCTTCACCGGCGTACGGTACATGCACTCTGGGTCTGGGTCTCAAACGGTACATGCACTCTGGGTCTGTAAATGTAATGGTGAACAATTATCGAATTTGGACTTTAAACGACATATATAATCAATCAATCAATGTTTATAAATTCTTTATGTTTACCGGTTGTGTTAGTTTAGTAATATGGCGTTCACGTCATGGTCGGTAGATTAATTATGTTCGACCCTCGTTCCCGGCGCTGCATCAAGATATTTTGGTAGCAATTGTTGGTTCGCTAAAGAATCTTTACTACAAAGACCTTTTAAGGATGTACAACACACCTACCCCAAAAAATTCCTGTCGTTTAATTTTCGTTATTTTTGTATATTTAGTACATGACTATATATACTGCATGTATGCATATTTTGGACAAAATCGTTCGAGTGGTTTTTGGACAGGAACTTCCGAAAGTTACCCCCCTTTAGTTGTTTACAAGGAGAGAAATTTTTTAATCAATGAACTACTTAAACCTTGATTTTCAAAAAAACCAGGTTAGATATAAATGTCAAATTTCATTGGCTTATTCTTTTTACCATTTAACACAAAAACATAGTCATCTTTTTGATATACATATCATCAAAACAATTTTTAAAGACCTTAAACTGAAAAACTATGAATTTTCTAAGCCTTGAAAATTGCGTATTTTTCAAATTCAAATTTTTTTTGTGAAAAAACCTGTCGTTTAATTTTTGTAAAAAACTTTCTTTAGGTAGCTGGTAGTAAAAATAATCTTAATAATTTTTTGTATAATTTTTGTACGACCAGTTTTGATTTAATAGCGGAAAATTACCCCCTCCCCCTTTCTCAATAAAACACGTTCCCGCACGTCTTTCAGGATTAATCACTTTGTTATATCAATCTACAAATACACATTTAAAAAATTAAATTGGAATATTGCTTTTGCTTCAAAAATATATTAACTTACAAATTTAAAAGTTCTCATATGTAAAGCGAATTTAAATGTAGATTTTTAGGCAATTTTTGAATACCCCTATCACCCCCACCCCTTCCTTTTTTGCGTCGCAGACCATTTAGCGTTTGACGAAACGTCGTTTACAGAAATATACTGGTATTTCGTCAAGAATCCCGGAGGTGTTTTTAAAAATAAATATCAATATACGTAATGCATTCCTAGTATCTCATGAAACCTGGATACGAATTCAAGTTTTGTTGAACTTGAATATGTTGATTTTTAATTTTAATTCTTAATTTTATTCATTAAAAAAATGGTGTATGTTCAACTTTCCTGTGATATAAATGGAATAATTGTAGTTTCATACATCGACATTTGCATTAGATGTACAACCAAACGATCACTTTTTTACGTTCAAACTATATTTATTCCTTTTGATTTATCAATAGTTGAAAATAAAATTCCGTATTCGTCCACATGAACATCAAATGTTATTAAACTTTCTATTTCAATTTATATAAAAAAATCGCAGAATTTTCTAAAATCTTATAGGCTAAAAGTATTCATGAATGCAGATAATTTCAGTAACAAGTAAACAATTCTTTTCAATTCTATACTTACATGTGCATTTGAGGTCTATAGCAATTCTCGGATTTATCAGGTCTTTGGAAAAACCGTGAATAAAGGGAGGAAAATAAACATCTGTATTATTCATTTTTTAACAAGTTTTTTGTTTATTTATTGTTGTTTTATTTAATTAAAGAAGAAAAACAATATCCATATCGTGTATGCACAAATTGTAATGAAGACCATTAATCGTATATAGCCAATTGTAACATATAAAATAAAATTTTAAGAATAAAAAAAAATTTTAAAATTTTTTTGTGAATCTTTTGTGATTTTGTTTTTAAATTTCGGGTTAATTAACAAAATACTAATTAATTGAGTATGGTAACAATCACAGCCAAGCCCCATATCCCAATTTTCTTTCATGATTGATATACATCGATCGTTTTACTCGTCGTTTTGACGCTTTATTTCTGACGTTAAATTTGACGTTATCAAACGTTCAGAAATCGCAAGAGTTGTGTGTTGTACACGTACTGGCACTCTTTCGCGGTATATATGATGACGTAGCTCTAGTGAGTGAACAATTCTCGCAAGGGATGTAAAACAACAATCATCCAACCAATCGATCACTTTTTTTTACGTTCAAACTATATTTATTCGTTTTGATTTATCAATAGTTGAAAATTAATTATGTTTGGAATCTAAAAGTACCTTGTGACATATATAAGTATTTTAAAATTGTGAATCTTTTGTGATTTTGTAATAGTCTATAGATAAACCTAGGTTTGTTTTGTCACATTGCAGATGAAGATGATGGTAAGCTAAGATTTTAGTTGGATCTATTTCAATATACTGGATATACGTATATGCACCTTCTCACCAATAACAGTTTGGAACTACTAATCCATTTATATTGAATTTTTATCTGCAGTAACACCGTGTTTTCGAACACGCTTTTGTGCTCTTTTTACTTCACTCTTATCAAATAAACTTTTTATCAAAGCCTATTTATTATTCACGTTGATGTGAAACTTTTGTATTAAATAGTAGAGAGCATTTTATTGAAAGCACGTTCTCTGTGATTTGCCATATACTTTTTCTTTACATACTGCGCCCAAATGAAAATGTTATCATAAACCTATGCAGAAAAAAACAACCACCAAGAGCTTTTAATGCAGTACGGTTATTTAATCACCCATTGTTAAAATCGAAAAGCTTGTAGACATTTCAGGTCAAGCGATACATAGGCGGGTAATCAGTTTATTCTATAATTCCCCAGATTAAACAAATGTTGAACTGTATTGCAACCTCTTGCGCTAGACATCGTAACCAAGGTTCGATCTTGATTCATTCTGAGTCCGTTAGAGCTACCGGGAACTTGTCGGTAAGGCGATATTGTAAATTCTCCTATTTCTACCTTTTTCCCTAATTTGTTAAATTAAATATTAATCCCAAAAAAGAACAGTCAAGCTATAAAAGACTCAATTTTTCTGCTATATACTAGTAGATGTTCCTATGAGATTTTACTGGTTAAGGTTATTTCGGTCAGGAACTTGTAAAAAAAATGGTAAAACTTTATTGAGTGTGAAAACATATAAAGATGGTATTTTTCTTAAGAAGTGTTTTGAAGTTGATCTACCTGTAGAATAAATATTTTATCGTATGCGTGTAACTTCTTAGCATTAAGTATATGTGTTAAGCATTTTAAAGCGGCATTGTCATTTTGTCAATGTTCTACATCAAAAATTGTTTCAAGTGGAATTAAAATCAGGAGTACCCATGTTTCATATACTTTTTATTATTTTTTCGTAAGCTTTTGCACTGTGGTCACAGACGTTTGCGGCAAAACTGTATAAATTATAAATACGTTCATATCGATTCTCCCCTTTTTTAATCTCCAGTAAAAAAAGTGAATAAATCAGTTTGTTGTAACCCAAGACGAACAGTGTATCAACGGCCCACCAGTACCGGCATCTAACGCCATTGACGGAGCATATTCTTTAGATCGTTAGAAGAAAAGACTTAATAACACGTATCGATAGAAAGGTGTATATTTTCAATTTGGTCCCCCACTACGAGTACATGCCTATTTTCAGTTGAGAGAGGGCCAGTTGTCGAGCAGAGACCAAAGACGCCAGCACAGGAACTTCATTGGATTTGCTGGCCAGAACCAGGGGGACAAAAAGACCTACCCAAACGACCCAACACGGTGCTAGGCGTCCACAGCTCCGACGTAAAGGCTGCGGACACAGACGGCATTAATCCAACTCAGCAACGGGTAAGTCATGGGGGTTCTTGATATGGAAGTTTGTGTATTCGGTTTTTATAGGATTTTTTTCGACAGACTAAGTCACTTGCAGACATGCACACAATATTGGAATATATTTATGCTTTATACGGACGGAGGATTTATATTTTAAATTTTGGCTTGAAGTTAATTTACTCTCAGTGAACATATATGCACAGAAATAGTCGAAGACTTGCTGAAAATACAATGTCTAGTATAGGTTTTTCAGGGAAAACTACTTAAAAAGAGAGGAGGTAGTGAGCTTTAATAAATCAAAATGATTTGAAGGACTTATAGGATAAGCAATCTTTAAACTTGATAAGAGGGAATCAAACTATGAAATGAAGCTGAAGCTTTGATTTTACGCATGGTTTTCAAATAGTTCATAGTCCTCGAGATGTCCGATGTAATATTAATGACCTGGTAGATTTCTGTAACGGATAACAAGAGTCCAGAGAAAATTTATTTAATTTACTTTATTTTAGTACGTACAGTACATATGGTATTTAATTATGGTACTTTGATAATGATATCTAGCATTTCGCGTGGTTGCGTGCTGAAGTCTTTGCCCAACAATTGCTCCATCGTTGTGCCATATTGTTAAACGATATCAATATTAATGAAGATTTGAATAGTTACCAAGGAAGATGCTGACATCATACGATTCACATTTGCAATAAAGAAAAGTAGTCGCACACCGAAAAAAGTTTTAAATTGATTTTCAAGTCAACTCGTAGACAATTTAACATAAAAAAAAAAATGGGATTAATCAATTGATATGAATGTTTAGGGGTATCAGTTAACAAAAAAAAAATATAAAAATAAATAAATATTTTAATACTTTTCAGCTGCATAATTCAGCATTGTGTGAGCACTTTTAAAGGAAAGAAATAATCCTGAATGAAACAAAGAAAATGTTTGTTTTCATATTTTGCAAATGTTTATACATGCATGTACTCTAACTGTTAAACCAACTTTAAGATATGGAATTGATTAGTAATTATCAAACCTCTTAACTTTCCATATACAGTATCGATTCTTCAGTTTATTGAAAAAGAAAACTTACCACATGCCGGTAAACAGAGGGTTGTATAGAGAGCGGTCTGGGGTGCTCTGGTCTCCGCGCTGAGGCTCCAAACACAATCATTTTTCATTGTTCCATATTTACCAAAAACGGAAAAACCTTTTTAAAAAGTGGTCAAAATTAGAAAAAAACGAAAAGGACACTTGAAGATTATTTTTGTATAATCTTTTCACTTACAGTTTTAAAGTGTCCAACAAAATATCAGAAAGAATTCACTTTTTAAAATAAATAGAAAAATAGTGGTTTGAAGAGACGGCGCAGTTTGATCGTAAACATTCATCTTTGTACCTCAAAATATTTTGGCAGAATAAATTAATACAAATATTATTTATAGTGTATCTTACAGATCAGTTTAATTTGGCATTTAAAGAAATTGCCTCCCTATATTCTTGTTTCAGAATTCTTTGAGAAGTAAGTCATATGTAAATTAGCTTCATTGTTCCAATCGAGACCAGATGGGAGAAAAGACTTCATCAAATCTATGTTATATTGCATAAGCGTAGAAAGATAATCCATACTTAACGATAGGTCATTTGCAAACCCATAATTCATTGTTTGACAGAGTGATGCCCTACATTTAAATTGACCAAATGTCTTCAAGATCAACACTACCCCCAACTGTTTGGGTGATTTTTTAAATTTGAGACAAAGACACATGACATCGATATTATTCATAATCTGGAATTGTTGAAATGAATGACAACCTGGCTTTAAAAATATAAACACAGCAATCCACACGTATTAATAAAGAATATCTGTCAATTATTGGTAATAAATCGCAGCTTTTTCGATGGAAAGTTATACCGATTTATCATAAAATTTAAAACATAGTCGAAAGCACTTACCCTTTTAATGCGTTGCATTTCCCAATTTAAACCATACCAGCGGTCAAGCAAAGAGCAGCAGCCATACAGAAGCACCACAGCTAAACACTCCTGTTTGTTCTTGGCAAGCTTTAAATGGTGACTTGAAGACTCTCTTTTTATTATGTTAATTAAATCAAACTTTAATTTATGGCAAGGTGTTGAATGTTATAGCTAACATATCGCCTTACTCTAAGCCATAATAAGTGGATATTGATCTAAATCCAAAGATGATCAAGCAGCAAGTCTAGAACATATACTGGGTTTGGAAATATATATTTAAAAGCACTTAAAGCAGATGGATCTCTAACTTCAGTTTTGCTTTTTTTTCTAATGAGTTTTCTTTATTTGGTGTTTACTTAATTTTTTCCCTTTAAAACGAAGTTCTGTAAGATTAGTTAACACGAGAAGGTCATTGCCTACACCCTACACCAAACCTGGAAACTTTAGATCTTCTGTTTGATACCGAAAAGTAAGGGGGATATTTTGGTCTTGGATTCCTCATTAATAATCATAGAAAGGGGGATAGGGACTGAGAAGTGTACTGTTTACTACAAATTATCAAATATTTGCAGATTTCTGAATGGTAACTGGATAAGGCTACTGTGTAAAGTTTTATGACGAATTATAAAGACCATTTAAGGACATCTAGTCAGATTGAAATTTAAAAGTGGGGCGTTTTTCAGCTTTTTAACATAACTGTTAAATGTGACGGTGTGTATTGATATTATGGCTATAATGTGTTTAAAAGGCATTCTATTCTACATAAGAATCATTGTCATGTCGACCATGTTCCAAGTTAAGGGTCACCAAAGTTCACGATTGTCTCATTGCGATATATCCACGTAGACAATTGGGTCAGATTTTAAAGTGCACGTTTCAGCGCTATTTTATAAATGTGATGAAAAGATAGGAATACACAAAGGCACTTCAAGGGGATTGCATGTCTTTCTTGTGGTTTTCTCCATTTTTTCTACACTGGTGTCATTTTTTTCTCTAGTAATTTTTTCCATAACTGCTATAGAAGAAATATTCAATTTCTCAAATATAATTACCAGTAATTAGGTATTAACATCTGCCGAGGGTAACGAAGAATACCCTCTAGCATACAAGGTTAATAAATAAAGGAAATAATACAACAATATGAAAATAAGCTGCATTGGCAAAACTCATTGAGATCGGGTTTCAGTTTTGGTTAACGTTTCTTGTAGCGAACATTAAATTGAATTTATTGGATTACAAGATGGATAAATACACTATTTATCAACTGGTATGTAATTTCTGATTAAATACCTCTCTGAAACAATAGTTTGTGACAATGACAATGCAAAATACTTAGTTTTTGCCAGCAAAAAGTAATCGCGTGTAGAAACATATTGCACTTGGTACTTGAGGTTCAACATTCGAGAAGACGTAGTAGGGCGGTGGATAAGTTTGTGCATCGGGAAAACGTTGCTTGGAGTTTTGTAGATTATGTAACGGCAACCAAACTTGAAGTTGTCAAAAGAGTAATAAACAAATCTTTAAAACGATCACAAAAGGTAGAATTGACAAGCCCATTATGTAACATAATGCAATTCCAAACAGCTTCTCAGACAGAGAAGAATATTGAAGAGTCCACACAAAAGGGACTGTCAGTAGTAACACATTTATGATTACTTCTCGTTAACCTTTCATTGAGGGAATATCACGGGAACACAAGATATCTTTATGTAATAAATTTTTTGACAATGTCATTTTAAAAGCTCTTTTCTCAGCATGCATGAAGCTATTACCGAATATCAACTACTCTTTGGGAGTGTTTGAAAATATATCTTAACATGTACAAATAATATACTGGAGTATTTCTCACTAATTTCATTTTCAATGTTCAAATTGAGAAAGCCTTACGCGATTCTCGTTCATCCTGTAGCAAGGAATGGCTTATTTTGTTTCAGACTCTGCAGACTATGGTGAGTTGTCGTAATTGTTTGAAATTCTTGTATTTTCAGGAATCCGCACGCGGAGCGCCCTTAACGTTTGTTCCAGAACTTCATTCGTGGGTGAACGCCACCACCGACTACGGTATGACGTATAGAGACAGCACAGGCGGGCTTTTACTCAGTCTGAAAAAATGCTTGACGATAAATTAGCCGATACGTTATCTTGTTTAAATCTTCTTAGCAGTTGTATGCTTTGTTGCATATTGTAATGAATCAGAAAGCCTCTGAAAAGAAAAAGCGTGAAAGTATAAGATATTATCACAGTCTATCACTAAAGAGACATTTATCACTGTTTTTAAATATTATCATTAAAATAGTGTCTGGTTAAAAAAGTCGTTAACTGAATGCAGGAACTGTATTTTTGTAGACAGAGAAACAGCTGCTAGAATAATGGCAATGTACGGATCCCTAGCTCCTCCCCTCCCCCCGGAGGCCCTGAGACCCCAGAGACAGGCCACATTCACATTCGGAAGTACTCGCAAGAACCAGTACAGAACAGTTCCCGACCCCCGGGGGTTCTATGCACAATCTTGGATGCCATTGTACGAAGACATGAATGCCTCAAACGATAGAAGAGTCAGAGAAATGGATAAACGACTGTCAGCGTAAGTTCCATTGCTGTCGATGCATTTACAAGGTCTATCCTTCTTGACAATGAAGGAAGTAAATTATGCTTCATTTAGGAATTTTTGCATCAGGTTTTAATCACATCCTTTGCATATAACACCATTGTCCAAAGTACTCTTAATTTTACATTTTTTTTTTAAATTAACAAATAAAAGCTAGGTGATTAGTTATGTGAATTTCAGAATATATATAAAACGTTTCTGATTTCAATTGCAGAAGTGACACCTTACCACAATTACCAATGTTACAGCGTAGTAATACATGTATGGACATGCGCCCAATGCAGAGACGCATCATACGCTACCCCAAGTCAGAGGAGTATGTACATGAACATAGTATTTTTATGGTGAGTAGAAAACTGCCACTTATCTTTATTCCTTCTTTTGAATAATTTTTTTCAACGTGCATATGACAAATGATGGCGTGATGAAGGTATGTGTTCCTTGAAGATAAAATGAACTTTTGAATTACTCCATTGATTTTTTTTTTGTAGACAACACAGCCCTTGATACGTGGTCACTTTATCATCCATCCAGATTGGGTGTCAGAACGACTCACGAAAAAGAGGATGAATCTAGCCAACAGAAAAGTTAGGAACGGTCTCCGATACGGGACCTCCGAGGAATACTAGATCTAGCTAGCCGTTAATCACAGTTATAGTTATTTATTATTGTTAGAGTTTAACAAATTTAACGAATTTTTGCACTTGTACAATCTGACCATGTTAAAGTTATGACTGAAACTGCTGTTGATGCGTAAGTCATGCTTGGATCAACTACCAACATACTGAGTGTGTCTATGTTGCTGTGATGTCTACAACCCCATTTCCCGACATTCCTTTCGAAATCTAAGGAGAAGCAAGTCTCCTTGGTGACAGTGTCGCTATTTTTACTTCCGCATCCGGCTGAGGTGCTGATGTTATTTAATCTAGTCTCCTTGTGTGTGTTTTATTGAGTGAATAGAAATACTCGCTTTTCTTGTGTTACATACACTGTGATATTTATCGTCTGTCTTGGTGCACCCCTTTACTTCTTTTTATTTAAAGATCTAATGCACAATCATTAACAAAACGAAGAAATGTAAGGAAACTTGTTTTATGAGCGTCCACACAGATAGCATCTGAGAAATGCGCACCAACTCTTTGTTTTTTAAGTTATATTTTTATTAAATTATTATTTTACTTATGTTTTGTATCACCCCACTGGTGTTAGAAGCTTTCGGTTTGATCATGTGATTAGTCGACTATCACGTGACTCTTTTACCTATATCAGTATTACTTTTGTAAATTAGGTTTGTGTCGCAGTAGATATCACGTTAGCTGTATTTTGTTATTTCCCGAAATACGAAGATAAATGAATAAAATACGAATATATTTATCAATAAGTTTGTTATTGTTTATTCCTTTTATGTACAATGGCGTTGTCGAGTTGAGGAGTGAGACAACCAGTGGATGTGATTTTTGATCCAGTAAAATATACAGTATAGATTAATCAAAGAAAAGTGTATATATGATAAGTTGTTAAAACAAGAGAAGTTCGAGAGGCATTACTCTGTCCAAAATTGCTCGATCGCTCACCAAACAGATTTTGGCCTAGGAAATCCGTATACCAAATGTCATTTCGGTGTGTGTAACCTCTGCAAAGAAAATGAACGGAAACTATAGTTTTTCTAAGTCCAGGAGGCATAACTCTGTCCAAAATTGCTCGATCACACCCAAAACAGAACTTGACTTAGATATTCTCATGATAAACTGTATACTGAATTTTACTTCAGTATGTGCGTCCACAGGCTTTTGGATCGCTTAAAAAATTGTGTGTGTAAAAAAAAGATATTTTTTCACACCTCAATTTTTTTCGAAGCGATCTAAAGGCACGTGTGTGCAACTTAATCTGCATAGAAAATATCGTACCCAAAACAGCCTGAACTAGTTTTATAATATTATTATGATAAATATGATAATACCATTCATTTCACAATGTGCAACCTCTGCAAAGAAAGTGAACAGAAAGACAGACAGACAGCAGCAAAGCAATATGCCCTACCCTCTTCGAAGGGGGCATTGTATGTAATAGGGATTTGGTTTAATAGATGCAAGTTTCATTATTGATAAATCAAGTTTTCAAAGCTAAGCACGGAGACAGTCACAGGGACCGGTGACATACTATATTTGATTTTACGTAATCAATACAAATTCCTTTTTGTATACCCCGGTATATAGTGATAAGTTGATAACGTAAGCAATCACAAACACACGAAACTGGTGGATCCAGGAATCTTGAAAGAAGGGGGAGGATCGGGGTAAGGGCCCACAGCCACCGTGGCACCAAAAAAATGATTTATCAAATCTTATATGTACATGTATATTTTGGGCTCAAAAGGGGGGGGGGGCTCCTGTCCCCTCTAAATCCGCCATTGCGAAATCGTTATTCAGAAAAAATAGAAATAGATAGTTTGTTAAATTTCAATTTTGTAATTTTTTCACTTTAAATTTTAATAGAGATATGAAAGAAAAGTTGTATTGGAGAGTTGGTTGTAAAGAATGGGGATAGCTAAAATGAAAACTTTGTTATAAATGTTTTTAGCAAATAAATAAATGCTTATAAAGTTATTTCGTTTTCTATAACATTGGCGTCGGAAGCAAATTGAAAGGGGGGGGGGGCTAAGTGTAAAAAAAAATGTTTATACCTTTATACCTTCCACACAAAAAAACCTGACAAGCAAAAAAAAAAAAAGGGGGGGGGGGAATGTCCATTTCCCAAACACGAAAATCCTATTTCGTGCGGGGGGGGGGGGGGGGGGGGGGGGGGGGGTAGTTCGATCTTCAGTACCAAAATTTTTTTCCAAAACACCACCACTTTCCCCATTCTTAACCTATGCTGTGTCGTGTCCGTGGAAAGTGGGGGGGGGGCTAAACCTACGAAACAATGTTTAATGTCTATACTAAATCTATATTTGGAAAAAAAGTGGAGGGGCTAAGCCCCCCCTCCCCGGTTCCGACGCCTAAGTATAATCTTTTTCGAGCTTGAAGGATTGGTGAGTTGCAATGTCGACTAAGCATTTGTACATGTTTTCGGATATCATTTCTCGAAAAATTGTTGCTTATATACTGACGAATGCTCGGGTATCAAAAAGATTTACTCTATCTGAAAATTTTATACAAGGTGTCTCTATTCGGGGCTTGGATAGAGTCTATAAGACCCCCCACATACACACCCACCATTACACTCACATATATACACGTTAAATCTGTCATTGCTGGTAGTGTAGTAGAGAAAGCTGCAGATCTGTAGCTCCCTGGTCTGAAAGAAAAATTCGGATGGGTGACTGGTCTGTCAATATTTTTTTCGGAGAGCTGCAGTTCTGCAGCTATAGCAGAAGTGCCATTAAGAGAAAAATGTTTGGCTTTGAATCCCTTTTAAAACTACGATGTTATTAGGTACTTCAAGTTGAATGATAACTACTTTTGCTCGTTTGCTGAGATGGGCTTACACACAACACGACACAGTTAATTACTTTTTTTATAATATTTGTCGTATTTTTCTTGTTCTCCCGTCTGTAAACTTTACACATAAGCAACTTTTCAAAGGCTTTAAAATAGATTGCTTACTCTAAATCACTCATTGGGGGTACAACTTCAATTTAAGATATTACATGTATTATGCAATTATCCTATGGTTTGAGAATTTATGCATGTAGTACCTGATAGCACAATACAAAGAGAGAAAACTGCTACTTCAACTGTTGTTCCGCATTGTGTAAACTTGTCTCCCTATAGCTAGAAGAGTGGTCGTTAGGCATGCATTTAACAAAAAATATTTCAAGGGTTATTTCAATTCAAACATTTGTTCTTGATCTTTTTAGTAAATATCTATCATAATGGACAAACATTAGTGCAGGCGTTCAAAAATAATGAATTAAAAACGTTCCCTTCTCGTACTTATCCCAGTGATTGAGATAATAGTACAAAGCAATGGTAGAGAGTAACTTGGATCATAAAACAGTCTATAGATTCTTAAATCAACAATTCAGTCATTCATAAAAAGAATTAATTATTGTTGTATTACTGACACTTGGAAATTTAAACTAGAACTGTCCAAACGGGACAAAATACCCCCCGCTGGGTTTTTCAGAAGTAAGTTTTTCCATAATAAAGATATACATCAAACATGAATTATGAAATTTTTCTTCCAGTGACCTTGAAGTTCCCCATATGACCTTGGGTCAGGGTCACGACACACCCTTGGGTCATGGGCAATCTTTGTGTGAAATGACAACCTACCAAGTTTATCCACAAGAAAGATATAGACAGGACAAGAATTATGAATTTTTTCTTCCAGTGACCTTGAACTTCCCCAAATGACCTTGGGTCATGGGCAGTCTTTATGTGAAATGAGAACCTACCAAGTTTATCCATAAGAAAGATATGGACCTGACAAAAATTATGAATTTTACTTTCAAATTCCAATGACCTTGAACTTCCCAAAATGACCTTGGGTCAGGTCATGACACATCCGTAGGTCATGGGCAATCTTTGTGTGAAATGAGAACCTACCAAGTTTATCCATAAGAAAGATATGGACCAAACACGAATTATGAAAATTTTCTTCCAATGACCTTGAAGTTCCCAAAATGACCTTGGGTCAAGGTCATGACACATCCTTGGGTCATGGGCTATCTTTGTGTGAAATGAGAACCTACCAAGTTTATCCATAAGAAAGATAAAGACCGGACACGAATTATGAAATTTTTCTTCCAGTGACCTTGAACTTCCCCAAATAACCTTGGGTCAAGGTCATGACAAACCTTAGGTCATGGGCAATCTTTGTGTGAAATGAGAATCTACCAAGTTTATTCATAAGAAAGATATGGACCGGACACGAATTATGAAATTTTTCTTCCAGTGACCTTGAACTTCCCCAAATGACCTTGGGTCAAGGTCATGACACACCCTTGGGCCATGAGCAATCTTTGTGTGAAATGAGAACCTACCAAGTTTATTCATAAGAAAGATATGGACCGGACACGAATTATGAAATTTTTCTTCCAGTGACCTTCAAGTTTCCCAAATGAACAAGGTCAAGGTCATGACACACCCTTAGATCATGGGCAATCTTTGTGTGGAGTAGTAGATTCTAATGTCCCTCTGTAAGAAAGATATGGACTGGACACGATTGCACAGACAGACGGACAAGGTGATTCCTATATACCCCCCCAAACTTCGTTTGCGGGGGGTATAATAAACATTATTAGAAAAAAAACGTTTTAAAATGATTTAATGATGAACCCGAAGACAATGTACAAAAAGAAAGAGGGCGTATAAGGCGTGTACAATCCCCCGCTCTGAGACAAAATGTTTCTCAATTTTCAAAATTCACAAAAAAGTTATATTTTTCTAAAATCATGTTCTCAGTAATGTCATCTCCAAAACATTTTATTATTTAACTGAACGACTTATCATTAGATAATCTTTATTTCAAAGTTGACAGTTAAGCATATTTAGTGGAAAGTGGGTTTAATAGAGCTATAAAAAACGAATTTTGAACATGAATGGGTCAAGTCTCCATTCTTCGTGAACGCTTAAATGATGGAAATGTAAATGTGAAATCTATTTCATTTGTCAAAAAAATGGAATCTGAACCCATTCTATGTGAAAATCGAACTTTTCTGAAAAAATTTACGCTTCAACAAACCCGTTCATTTAAATCACACTGAAAGACGTCAATAATACATGTACTTCGTAGCATAGTGGTTAAAGCGGTTGGTCTTGGACCAAACCTGCGTTACGGAGAGACTTCGAATCATACATGAAGCTTTTTCTTTTTTGTTTTCAAATGTCTTAAAAACACGAGTGAAAAATAAATTATTAATAAATTATTAAAACAATGAAATACAGAATTTTATATGTAAAAGATGATATAAACCATAAAATTTTGAAAAAATATTACTTTTAGAATTGAGAAATGTCTTTTTTCAGAGTGGGGGATTGTCCGCGCCTTGAACGCCTCCATTCTTTTGACTAGAAGTTTAAAGTGCTTTATGTTCTTGGGGCCTGAATTCCTCATACGATCATAATTTGGAGAGGGTCAAGAAAATGAATCCAACTTTAAAAAAAAAAAAAAGTTTCTATGCCTTCTCCCAACTCGGCATAAAAGAGTGGTAAGTAGTAGGTATACTTCAATTTCAATGCTAAATTTTCAAAATTTATTGAAATGAAGGTTAAAATAAAATTCAAAACTTAACACATTTGTTGACAGCATGAGAACAAATTTGGAATATTACAATAAAAAAAGTTGTTTCTTGAAAGTTTAAAAAAAAGTTTTGAGTTGGGCCCTTTTCAGTCAATACATGTAGGATGGGTGAAGGTACATGTAAGATATCATTAT